CAAAATTAGCAAGCAGACTTAGCTCTGCAGCATTTGCTGTGAAAAAGTTTCGAAGTCTCACCAGTGTTGAAACAGCTGGACTAGTTTACTTTAGCTATTTTCATAGCATAATATCGTATGGTATTTTGCTATTGGGACACGCACCTGACACTGAAATTATGTTTGTTTTATAGAAGAGAGCTATAAGAGCAATTTATGATTTGAAGCCTAAAGAGTCGCTGCGACAAAGATTTAAGGAAATTAATATATTAACCTTGGCCTCTCAACACATTTATGAAAATGTAATGTACGTACACAAAAATAAAAGTAGTTTTACAAAAATAAGTGATATTCATTCTGTAAATACTAGGAACAGACACAAGCTAGTAGTACCAGTTACTCGACTCCATGGAGTCAGTAATTCGTTCTTGAGGCGATATATACGCTTTTACAACAAAATTCCAGAAAATATACGAAATTTGACCTGCACAATGTTCAAAAATCTTATTATTATAAGTTTTTATAAAAAGGGTTATTATAATATTAAAGAATTTATGGATGATAATAACCCCTGGAAATGGGGTGATCGCTAACAAGCTATTTCTAATTTGTTGTGTTGTTAATTTATGTAACATACATGATTGTAAGCTGTTATTTAAAAAAAAAGTTCCGCTGGGTTTCTTGATGGTTCTTCGCAGGACAGAGGTCTTTTTCGAACCAGTGATAATTATACAAAAGAGTGACTTTCAATAATTATTATTTATAATCTATATTGAATAAAAAAGTTACTGTTTCTGTTGAACACGAATGTTCTTTTCCTAAAAACTAGGAGGTGCATTTCACGCTATAGATGACAGCACTATTATAAATTTTGACGTTGTCAAATGAATGAATATGTTTTTTTTTTTATAGAATAGGGTGACAAATGAGCACACAGTCCACCTGATGGTAAGTGGTTGCTGTGGCCCATAGACATCTACATCTATCCTAGTTTGCAAAACAAAATGCAGATGCGTTGTCACCCGTGAGGACTAAGATGGAATGCCTCTTTTTCAGTAAAAAGGGTCTCCGGTTTTGTACACTCACCATACGAAATACATGTTGTACACAACAATCAAATAGTGTTTAGCTGCTATTTTAACGCTGGTGTGCTGTGAGTGCGTGGTCCTTCCCCGGTCGAGTCGACCCATTTGTGCTACAACTATACTACTTATATAGCTGCAGCATGGCTCTACCACGTAGAAAACGCCTTGTGCTAATCATTGGCTAAATCTATGTAGAGTGCACTCACTTAGGGAGCGTAAATTCAAGTTTAACTTTTTTTCGGAACAGCAGAAAGAGTTTACAGGTTCTTTTCATCATCCCCACGTCAATGGGAAACTTTAATAAAAAGTGTAGGCGTATCCGTCAAAAGATCTCAGAGACAAAATGAATTGCTCATCATGACGTTGTTAAGCCACTGCAGAATAATTTAAAAACTACTTACTAGTTTAGTATAAACACTCGAAGATATATATGATCCCAGCACCAACAGAGAAAACGTCGATACAAAAGAAGCAGTATCTAAACTCTTACCAGCTTTGTGTGACTTCAGCTTTTTTATGCTATCTTTCCTTTTGGTGTAAAATCCTGATAGAAGTTAGTCAGACACAAAAGCAAATACTAAATAATATAATAATAATCTACATTATCACTGGAAAAGTATGAGATAAAAATCAAAGCCCAAAAATTTTTCTTCAAAGCCAACGTATTGAAATAGTGGAAAAAGCTATTCCCTACGTAACAAAAAATATGAGAATGTGGAAATTTCGATTGAAGGAAGAAGAGGAATGAGGAGATTTCGAAAATGTTTACCAGGAGAAATGACCCGATATGCTGGACTAACATTGCCAGAGGAGCTGCAGAGAGCTATGTTAGAATATCTTGACAGATTTTACGAGGAACTAGACTATCGCTACAGAGCAATGGATGATATTTTCGTAACATTTAGTGTTGTTTAGCCTTACACTCTGCTAACGTCACCAGATGAATATTTTCAAATAATAGTTTAAAATCTGACAAAAATCTGCCTTGATTTTTCTGCAGGATATATAATTTTGGAGACTTCACGACTTGAAAGCTACCAGCATTTCTTCCCAAGAAGCGGTTCAATGTAACTCATTGGAGCTTTTCTCGTAAAATTGGGCTATTCTGAATCTGTTCCGAATCTAACGCTGTGTCTAAGATTTTTTTGTACTATTAAGTTTTATGTGAAGGAAGTTTATCAAAACTCAAGTTAATAGAATCTAACTTAAGGTCCACAATGAGCCAAGCGGGACTAACCAATCTTTCCATTTTATCTATCGAAAATGACAAGAAAGTAAACTTTGATAATATATTAGAATATTTTAGCATAATAAAGTCTCGTTAGCATGTGTTACCGCCAGCTACTGCAACCGGTTCCATGCATGACGTCAAGTGCCCCACCACTCGGACCTACGATCGGTCAGATAGCTAGAAATCGCCCAAGCGACAGTACACCGTTTCTATTTGTTTTACTTGCTGTATACTTTACTGTACTTTATGCATATAAAATTAATGTACAATAATATAAATAGTTTGGCACTTATCCTGGAATTTTATATTATCCTGCAACCTTATCTGGTAGCTTGAAGGAGTGCTAACAGCATGTATAACAGTTTTTGTTTTATTTCGGGGGGTGCTTGATAGAAAACCACCCTGGGTGTCAACCCACGCTACGCCGCCACTAGTCACTAAGGTTTGATACTGTAGCGAAGCAATAATGTAATCAAAATATTAAACGGAGTTTAATTATAACACTATTCAGCACTTTCCATATTGAAAAAAAAAATACGCATTTCGTTTTCCGTGATGCTGTATACACTAATAATATTCTCAAAATATTGTATCATGGACACTCTATTAGAAAGAAATGCAACGCCTAACTCGCACTGAGTTTCATTAATTTCAAGGTCACTGATTTAGGAACGTTTCTCTAGTATGAAGTGCGCACTCCCTATATTTTACAATCTCCTTGCTATAAATTAATTCACTGACATTGACATTCAATGACTACATATTTGTGTCTGTAATATATAATGTACTCTGTGCATATTTGTGCCATTTGCTGTAGAGATTATCGGTCCATGGGGTCCACATGCGGTGAAGTTCCTAAAGAAACTGGTCGTTGTTGCTGGTGATAAGAGGGCTGATTCTTTTCTCGCTCAAAGGCTAAGTATAGCCATTCAGCGGGGAAACGCCGCCAGTGTTCTTGGTACGATACCGCGAGGTTTAGGACTATGTGATAATTAAGTTTCTAGTTTTAGTTTTTGTTTTATTATTATAGTTTTTAATATCGTATCTAATAAAATATTGTATATTATGTTAAAAAAATTATTCATCATTTTAAAATTTTATGCACGAAGTGTGATCAGAATCGAAAGTGAGTTAAGTGTAATGTAAAACAAAAAGAACAAAATCATCTTATCACTTTCCGCAAGTTTCCTTTAATATAAAAAGAAAAACTTATGACAATATTGTGGTAAGTCTTTAAACATTTTGTATTTATTGACCGTTATTTCTAGGTATTAGGTATGTTGACTCGAATTTAATCTCTTTCAGATAATGTATTTGGGCGGAGTTTTTACCATGAGAATTTTACTGATTTACAATATCATATATTATATATCAATAACATGCGTGGAAAAATTATGCGCAAAAGCAATAAAAACCTGAATAATAGTGTATAGTTTTATAATTTTATTTAACTTTATCCCACAAGGTCCTGTAAAGAAAATTCGAGTAATTTTGGTGCAAACTCTCAAATGTATGGGAATTTACCCCATACCTTTGTGAGGCTTAGGCCAAAATTATTCGTTCACCTTGTACAAACAAATATTTTAAAAGTTACAGTATACAACGGGTTGAAATTCTTGCGAAAAAAGTTTCACATAAGCGCCCGCTGTGGCGCTAGTAGTATACACATAGACGCGTGCTATATTTTTTTGTCAGAGATTGCCTCCTTCTCTCGGTACATAGTAATTGTGTTCTGTGGATAAAATAGAATTCGATAATAAACAGATTTTTGGCTGGAAATTGACCGGCGGTGGATTGCTGCTCCTGTATTATTGTTTAAATAATGGTTAAAGATGGATTTTGATATGTGAAAGTGGTGCAATTTTGTGTAATAAGTGTCTGCGCATGTGAACTATTAGTTGAAACGGTGAAACAAGTGCTCTGATGGTGATGTGATTCTCAAGATTTGGTGTCTGTCTGCTTAGGCACCTTGAGCTACCATCGGCAACTGTCAGCTATCTGCTGGCTCAAGTTGCCGTAAAAATCTCCCAAGGGGTTGTATAATATGACGCATCAGCATATTGTGAAGCAGGGCGCTATGAAGGATAATGATATTATATTGTATTTTCAGCTTCAGAAGGGCTAGAACCCAGGTTTGTAAAGCCACTTATAAAAAAAATCGAAAATAAACATTGGCAGCACCAAACTAGGGATGGGCAAAGGGAAAAAATATATCGATATATATCGAATCTATATTTTGAAACAGTATCGATATATATCGCGTGATAAATATCGATATATCGTCATAAAGATAAGGTCCAAAATATAAATAAATTTTATCTACTGACGATTGGACAACGAAAAAAACGATACATTTTAAAATATATCGATATTGATACGAATTCGATACTCTAAAATAAATATCGATATGTCGATATACCGCGATTTAAAATATCGAAGATATATATCGATATGTTTATTAAATAATATCGATATATCGATATTTATTACCCATGCCTATACCAAACTGTCAAATCCAGCTGTCGTAGTTGGTCATAGTTTGATAATTTGATTTGAACTTTGCGTTTGGCTTTGGTCATTCGTCAAGTTAGTTTAATTTTAATTTTGTGATCGAAATCAAGTCTGTTGCAAATGTGCTTATATCGTTATCGCCAGCTTTAAATCGCGAGTTATTTTGAATTTATATAGTAAAGTGAATCTCTGCAATGGCCAAATCTTCGGGAGCTCCGACTAAGGAGCGCTATATACCAAATGGACTGAAATTCGCTTTTGGTGGACTTGCAGGGTATAGTTTTTCATATTGTTAAATGTCCTTTATAGGGGTTCAATGTCGTTAGATCGAATGAGAAGAAACAATGAATAGAAAAATCGTATTAATGTTATTGTTTTCACCGAAATGCTCATCGATTACTCTTGGTTTTATAAACATATGTCAATTATTTCATGGCAAAAGTACCTTGATGTTTAATTAGTGACATTTTTTTTATAGACTAGGGTGACAAATGAGCACATAGTCCACCTGATGGTAAGTGGAAGCTGTGGCTCATAAAAATCTACATTTATCCTCAATTAAGAATCCAAAAGTAGATTTGTTGTCACCCCTGAGAACTAATAATGGAATGCCTCGTTTCCAGTAAAAAGGGAAATAACTTTAAACGCGAAAATATTTATAGTCTTGTAATGCATATTGCATAGTGATTTCCAAACATTTTTTATGAAATAAAAAATTATGTAACAGATAGTAATATTTAAATTATGATTTCATATTATAGGTAATTCAATTTTCATTAGACTTATAATACAATGAAGTAGCAGTATGTAAGCTAATGTTTAAGGGTATTGACTAAATATCCATACTGTTGGGTTCAATTATGCCATAGCATAAGCACTAAGCTCAGGGGAAGTGGTTGATAAGTGAATAAATTTGTATTTCTCTACTGTCAGGTGCAATATCAAGATATCTGCTACTTAAGTCATGCATTTAATAAAATTTGTATTGTCTGCTAATTGTTTGGACAGGTTCCTCATACATATTTTTGTGTCATACCTGTAATCCTCAGAGTCAAAAGAGCATGAAGCCAAAAGGACCACATGTAGCCAAAAAAATATGGGGATAAAAATGTGAAGGAAGTTATAAGATACTAGTCCCATTATCTACACTATCACAAACCTAATATCCAATTGGTTCCCTTTTTACGACAAGCTAGGCAAGTGACATCACTAGTATATTCTATATTGTTGTAAGTCCCACATTAACATGGGACCTCTGTCCAACATGGGATTGGTTTCACATACTATTTAAAGTAAACCCTTGTAATCTATACAAATAAATAAAATTGAAGTGTCTGTAATGTCAAAATAACAGTCATTTACTAAATGCACATGAAAGTATATACTGTACTTATAAAAAACTCAATTTTTAAGATTTCTATCTGTCTGTCTGTTTGTTCCGATTTTGACGGGACTTTCACTGGCAGATAGCTGATGTTATAAGTAGTAACTTAGGCTACTTTTATTTTAGAAAATGAAGTGTGGTTTTGTGCAAAAGAAATTAAAACCCTAAATTACACATGGGCGAAGTTGTTTGGAACAGCTGGTATTCTCTATATTAAAGTAAAGTATTATGTAACCATTCTCACTAAGTAACCATACTAATATGTAACCATTCTCAATCCCAGTAAATGCTTATTTGCATAACAAATGTTTATAGGTTCAATTAGAAATATAATGTGAAGTGCTAAATTGACTATTGAATCCTGCTACTACCACTCCAAGTAAACTTAAAAATGTGATGGAATGGAGTTACCTTACAGTCTATTAAAGTCCAATGCTCAACATAGGCGTCCCCCATATATTGACTCATAGAGGGGATATTTGCCATAGTTGCAAAGCTTTTCAAGCGGGTTATTAGGAAGATGCTGCTGCCCATCTTCTGATTTGTATCCCTCTGTCGCATCTTATGACACCCCCAGAATGATATGGGGTAGTGGATATTCTTACACCGTCACTTCACCGCACTTACACCACCACATTGGATTGGATGCAGTAGTTCAGACTAATTAGGCGGACGAATAAATGGGTACAAATTTACGATTTAAACTTATGTTCTATACCCATCACTGTTATCCCCCTGTTAAATCCCCTGTCAAGCAAACAATGTGAGAAATGACTTAGCCTATACTGGCTTCATCAAAATTGTGTAATCAAAACTCATATAAACTTTCAATTTTATATTCCAGCTATAAGACTAGAATTTTTCAGGTGTACTAAATACGATTAAATTGGGACTCATTAACTCAGTATCCTGTTTTTTTAACTATTTTTTTTTTTATAGAATTAAAGTGACAAACGAGCACACAGTACACCTGATGGTAATGGTTGCTGTGGCCCATAGACATCTACATCTATCTTGGGTTACGAATCAAAATGCAGACACGTTGTCACCCATGAGGACTAAGATGGATTGCCTCATTTCCAGTAAAAAAAGGGTCTCCAGTTCTCTACACTCACCATACGAAACATAGCAGCGTTGTGCTACTATTTTATGCTGGTATTCTGTGAGAGCGTGGTCCTTCCCCGGTCAAGCTGACCCATTTGTGCTACAACTTTAACAGTAATATAGAAGCAGCATGGCTCTACCACGTAAATATTATAAGCCACTGCTATTATATCTATTGATTTACAATATTGACTATTATAACATCTGATGGTAGTAGGTGATAAGGCAGCCCAAAATGGCAAAGTACACGGCCTTAGCTTAGTTAGTACAGTGTGGCTGATTTCTGCACTTCCACAACAATATATTATTCAAGCCAAAGATTTTAGGGTGCACCGAGGTATTTAGGCCTGTAGCAAGCGACTGCTGATCATTCCAATAGGATGAGAGTAGCTATTTCATTGTGATTGTTAGATAATAATAAATTTAAAGGTGCTGTTTTTATATAGTGTGTTTACAGTTAAGTTGTGATTCCATTATTATAATGCTAGAGTGCATTCTCATGTTTTGTTATCTATGTTCTATATTATTTATATCCAGTTGTCAGTTCATGTGTCCCTGCTTCCTGCTGTCGGCTCATGTAGAAACTAAGTAAAAATAAATGTTAACATAACATTAGAAATCTTACTCAGTTATATTAAATCAAAGCCTTAACCCAATAGACTCTCCATGCAGACTGCATAGAGGAGTGTTCGTGGCACCTATAGTAAATAAATGTGTATTTAGCCTTAGCGTCCACTAGGCTCACCGAGCCGAATCGAATCGAATCGCAGAAAATCGTCTCCTATATATTTGCAATTCGATTCAACTCTGCGCGCCTCAGTCGACACGGAGAAGCGGATGCGCGCTAGAGTATTTTATTAATTTCTATTTAATTTTCGTAAGAATCTTTTTGTTTAAATAAAAATGAATGAAGAACTATTGATATCACTGGTCCAACAATATCCAGAATTGTTTAATCATGAAGATCCATATTATCACGATTTGCGTCATGTACGAGCTGTCCATGATGCAAAAACGACCTATTTTGATGAAGAATTTGCGATGAATGAACCATTCGATTCCATTCTTCAGTGATAGACGCACTAGGAATAAATGCGACTCACTTCGATTCGACGCATTTCTGCTGTAGTCGACGCCAGGCTTAACAATCCATGCCCAGTTACGAGCGCTTGTGATAGTCCGAATTTGAGATTTGTTTAAATGAAGCATTATTTCGGAAAGGCAGCTGTTGATGTTGGGTTAAACCTCTCTAGTTTGCCAGTATTCCGTATGATTAATCTAAGTTGGGCACATAGGTTTTTTGTGCGGCCTCGCACCTGTGACCTTACAAACCCAAGTGGATGTAGGAATAGGTTCTGCTCTAACTGCCCTATATGAAGTGTATGGAATCAATGCATGTGGAATTCATCATCATTACAGCCCTTCACAAGTCCACTGCTGAACATAGGCCTCCCATTCCTCAAGGAATGCCACAAAGTACGGTCCTGAGCCACCTGCATCCATCGACTTCCAGCATGTCTTACCAGGTCGTCACTCCATCTAGTAGGGGGACGCCCTACACTTCGTCCGTCGGTACGAGGCCGTCAAACGAGAACCTTTTTCCCCATCGGTTGTCGGTTCTTCGAGCTATATGGACGGCCAATTGCCACTTCTGCTTACTAATGCGTTGGACTATGTCGGTTACTCTAGTTCTACTGCGGATATCCTCATTTCTAAGTTTATTACGCAGAGAAAGTCCGACCATAGTCCTCCATAGCTCGCTGAGCAACCTTGAGCTTCCTCATCCGGCCAGCAGTGAAGGACCACGTCTCAGTTCCATAGGTCATCACTGGCAACACGCACTGGTGGTACAGTCTCGTTTTCTAATTTTGAGGTATACCTGACTTGAAGATGTGCCGTAATTTCCTGAACGCTGCCCAACCGAGTTCAATCCGTCGATTGACCTCTCGGTCGAAGTTGGATTTACCTAGTCGGACTATTTGTCCCAGGTAAACATACCCGTCAACAACTTCGAGCTTAGTGCTCCCAACAACTACCGGCATAGGTGTGACATGGACATTAAACATGATCTTTATTTTGTCCATGTTCATCTTAAGACCTATCCGTTAGGAGACACTATTGAAGTCATTGAGCATAGTGTTTAGGTCCTCCAGCGATTCTGCCATAAGGAATATACCGTCGGCAAATCGAAGGTGAGTGATGTACTCGCCATTGATGTTAACACTGTATCCTTTCTAGTCCAGTAGCTTGAAAACGTCTTCCAGTGTAGCGGTGAAGAGTTTCGGGGATATAACATCGCCCTGTCTTACACCTCTTTGCAGTTGGATAGGTTTCGTACTCGGATACCCATCGTAGCCCTACTGTACAAACACTTCAGCACTTCGATATACCGACAGTCAACTTGCCACCGCTGAAGGGGCTGTAGCACCGCCCAAATTTCGACGGAATCAAGGGCTTTCTCATAGTCCACATACGCAAGGCAAAGTGGCAGATTGTACTCTTCTGTATTCTGTACAATTTGCCGAAGGGTGTGTATGTGATCTATAGTACTAAAACCTTTTCGGAAACCGGCTTGTTCGGGAGGCTGGAATTCGATGAGTCTGCGTGCGAGACGATTCGTAATGACTCGAAAACAGCACGTAGACGTGGCTCAGAAGTGAAATCGGTCTGTAGTTCTTCAAGAGAGCGTTATCGCCTTTCTTGAAGAACAACACCACCGCATTTCTGCTCCACGCCTCCAGAGTAGTGCCACCATGGAGGAAGGAATTAAAGAGCTTCTGAAGGACTTCAAGTACCGGTCCTCTACCCGCTTTCAGAAGCTCCGCTGTAATCCCACCCTCACCTGGGGCTTTGCCGTTTTTAAGGTGCTGGAGAGCCATTCTAATCTCGCTCAGACTGACGTCCGGGATATCTTCGGAATAGTGTCGGATAAGACTCGCTCTTGGATCGTTACTGACACTTACGCGTGGCTCCAACGAAGACGTATACAGCTGCCCATAGAACCTCTCAATCTCACTCAAAATCTCGGGTGTCCCGGAAACGATGCTGCCACACTCGGTCTTCAGCTTTGACAGTTGGCTCTTTCTGGCAGACAGATCTCTGGCAATGATTTTGGATGCCTGTTTCCGCTCGATTGCTTCTTCAACACGAGCTGTATTGAAGTTGCGTAAGCCCCGCCGCCGCATGTATTTGGAGATCTGTCTGTTTAGTTCCCTGTATGCTGTCAAATCTGCTGAAGACTGCAGATTCATTTCCCGTCTAACAGCCATGAGATTAAGAGTGTGATCGGAGAGTTTTTGTGTTCTTCTGCGGCGGGTCTTGCAGAACCGCATGGACAGTCTCCACGAGCTTATCATTCATATCGTCCACTTCATTGCAGTCTTCTAGGCACTGAAATAACTCGAGCTGAAAGGTTTCGGGACTTTGGACTAGAGCACGAGGGAGACGGAACGTTGACTTCATTAGACGAGACCTCTAACCTAACGTTTAGGTACAGTGTGTCTCTAACCATTCGGTGATCGCTACCAGTCGATCACTGAGACATCACTGAATAGTTGTCGTCTGGTCGTCATAATGAAGTCAATCTCATTTTTGTCGAACCGTCGGGGCTCGACCAGGTCCACTTCCTGTGGGGCCGCTTCTGGAAGAAAGAGTTCATCATAAAGAGTCCCTCTTTCTCCATGAAGTCGGCCAGCTGCTGGCCCCTTGGGTTCCGTTGCCCTATTCCAAATTTCCCTACTTTCAGCTCACCGTTCTCTCTTGTGTATAGTTTTGCGTTGAAGTCTCCCAATAACATCGTATAGTGGGTTTTGGAGGAATGCATGACTCTAGAGATATCCTCATATATTTCCTCCTCCTCCTAGTCGGGGTGTGCCGAGACTGGTGCGTAAACCTGTATAACCTTCAGCGAATACTGTTTGGTGATTCTGAGTATAAGGTACGCAACCCTCGTCGACATACTCCCAAACTTTACAACGTTGTTAACTAGAGACTTTAGACGATAAATCCGACACCTCCTTGGGACAGATTGTCACCCTCCCGGTGATAGAATAAGTTGCCGGATTTGAGGATTACCGTGTCCTCCCCCTCTCTTCTGACCTCGGATAATCCTATAATATTCCAGTGCAGCTTGTCTATCGTTTCTTCCAGCTTCAGGATCTTCTCGTCAGTCTTCAGGGTGCGTGCGTTATAAGTTGCCAGGTAGACTCTTCGACATGGAAGACTCACCTACAGACTTACACAGATAATTACCGGGTATGGGTGCTTCGGTGATTATCTGTGTAACATCGGACGCGAGGCGACGGCGAACTGCTTCCACTGTGGTAGACGAGACCAGGACTCCGCTTCCCATACGCTCGCAGAATGCCCAGCGTGGGAACGGGAGCAAACGATTCTGGTTAACCGCATTGGACGGAACCTCTCGCTGCCAGCAGTCGTGTCGGTGATGCCGAGCGGGGATTCGGCGTGGAGGGCCGTAGCCACCTTCTGTGAATCTGTTATGATTCAGAAGGAGGCTTCTGAGCGGGATTGGGAGAGGGCGGACCCCCGCGGAGACGACGTCGTCAAGGCGTTCGTCACGGCCTTCCTCTTGAAAACGGTGTTCCCCTACCAGAAACGGAGCCTCCGGGGTTGCAGACGCTCGGGGCGGGGGCCTCGAACGTCTAGTAATGTAACCCCCGAGGAGGACGATGACTCGGAAGTGGTCTCGACACATCGTCATAGCACTGCGAGGGTGCTGGGGGCAGCAATTACTGTACCCGGGACGTGCTATAAGCGTAGCAAAGCGATGGAGGGGCCCCGGTTGCGTTCCGAACGGAGATCCCGGGACCCCTCGTATACGCTGATGGTGACCACCGTAGGGTTTTAGCCGGTATGAGTCCGGCATAACCTTTTCGTTGCCCCCGGAAGGTATCCATGAGGATTTCCCCACGTAAAAAAAAAGGTCGAGTCGTCGTAGGTGGAAACCGAACTTCCACCGGAAATTCTTAGCACCCGCTGCCCCACCGTTACCATGGTTGCCACTGTAGCCAGGAATAGCGGGGCCGCCGGGTACTGCGGGCCGTCTCTTCGTAACTTTACTCATTGGGGGGTACATTGCCATAGTTGCCACACTTGGCGAGCGGGTTGGCAACCGCAGTTTTTTATTGTGATATTGCTGTTATCGGGAAGAAGCTGCTGCCCATCTCCTGCCTGTTTCCCACTGTTGCCTCTTACGACACCCACGGGAAAAAAAGGTGGTAGTGGATATTCTTAACCGCCACTACACGGCCATTACTGGAATTAAAATGGTATTTTATCTACTGAAGGGTGATGTTATTTTCTTCACCTACCCTATTAAGGAAAATATTTGACTATTATGCTGTGTGCGTTTGTGCCGTTGCGAACGATATGCCGCTGTGTAATGCATGTCGTACTACGCAGTTGCAAGTGATGGCGGTGAGAACGATGTGCCGGAGCAAGTTCCAGAAGTCTGCCTTATAAATTTGCCGTGAGTCGAGATGAAGACAAATTGGATTGGCTTGAAGGAGGTGAAGACTGCAGAAGACGATTTTTGGGAATGAATGGTAGGGGTTCCTGAGGATAATTAGTGACGAAGGCTTGAAAGTTGTAGTTTTCGAAGGTTGTTGCGTTGCGTGTTCACATCACGTCGGTTGATCACCACTGTGGCCGTGGATAGAAAAGAGGAGATCTCCCGCCGAATAAGGTGTTAGGCCCGTGGAGCGGCCAACGCTCCGAGTGATAGTTCGGAGCTATTCTATTATAAAGTGTTTTACTTCGGAACTTTGATAGCGTGAGTTAGACTTCGGTGTGTTTCGCTTGTGGCGCGACGACAACGCCGCAACAAAACTATCTTGCGATTCATTCAAACACACATAAATTTTCATCAAAATCGGTAAAGCTTTTTATATAGGTATGTAATTAAAACTAATTTTTGAATCAATTTATTTATAAATTGATTATTCCACTCCTTTGCTGTACGCAAGTTCTCTACTGTAATCTCTATTGCTACGGGATCTTTAAATATACTTTTTATAGTTGCCGCTTGATCATGAGATTGGGTGATGGAGTTTTCTATATGGCTATCACAATGCAATATATTTTATATACCTTATTGTCACTTAAGTCTTTCAAAATGTATTCTAATTGATAAATTGTGGATCAATCAAACAAATAAATTGTGAGGATTTCCACCTTCTATAAACAAGCTAAGAACAACATATTTATTTAATGCGATTTTTATACTTTTATGGGTGGCAGATGCGCAAGATCCACCTGTTTATTTGCCAATTGACATACACCTTTCCTCGATAAAGTATCGAAATTCAGATGCATCGTCACCCCTGAGGAACAGATTTAATGTGTTGTCACCAATAAAAAGGGTGTCCGGTTGCCGTCATTTACCATACGAAACACAGTAGCATTATGTTGCTATTTTACGCTAGGGTTCTGTGCGAGCGGTGTCCTTTCCAGGTGAAGTTGACCCATTTGTGCGTCAGACATAATTTATCTGCACTATGGCTCCAAAACATTATAAATTATTTACTGTTTTTCTTCACTAGTATTTCTATTTTAATTCTAGATAATTGGCTTTGGTCCATATCTTTTATAGCTTGCAATATTTTTGTTAAAGTGCAGAAGTGCAGCCTAAGATGTTTTTAACTTTTTTATTAAGTCTTTGAGTGCAGCATGTAATTTAAATCAAATATTATTTTTAGGGGAAGGAAGGTTCTCGAATGTTAACCTTGTACAGGCAAATAGTTGAGTGGCCCAGGAACTCATAGATGCATGGATGACCATGGTTTACTGTATGTATTTCTTGGGGGATCCTTATGTTCAGCAGGGGAATTGTGAAGACATATAATGATTTTCAGGAATATTTTTTTTTTTATATAAATGTTCATTAAAAAACGTACGTAAAAATGGACTACCCCATATCATACCGTGGGTGTCGTAAGAGGCGACAGAAGGAAACCGGAGATGGACACCAGTTTCTTCTTAATAACTAACTAATAATAAAATAATGCGGTTGCCAACACGCCTGCCAAAACTGGCAACTAAGGGAAATAATGAGATAATCTATATTTAGCAGTGGACTTGTGATGGGCTGGAATGAATCTATTCTTAATCATACATTCATATTATATTTATGTAAGGCATATAAATTACATTATTCTCTTAGAATTTTCACAGAGAGAAAAATATTCTTTTCTTAGCCCTTTATTTCGCTTTTATTCAACGAACGCTATGTTTCCAGGATGGCGGCGACATGCGTGGTTCAACCTCTTGATCTTATCAAGACCAGGATGCAGTTGAGTGGTGGGGGGCGTTCATCTTTCGCGGTCGCCGGAGAGATCGTAGCAAGGGAAGGATTCTTTTCCCTGTACACCGGTCTTTCCGCCGGACTCCTCAGACAGGCAACTTACACAACTACTCGTCTCGGTGTCTATAACTGGCTCTTTGACGCATATAAAGAGTAAGTATTCGTTTGAATTATATATTTTTTCGGGGCTCCCTACTCAAAAGAAAAACAAGTGATAAAATTAAAAAAAAAAATTGTACAACCGACTTCAATATAAATTATTAAGGATAATTTAAAAACTACTGGTCAGACCTTGATCAAACATTGCACATCACGGCTAGCATGGGCTGGGGACAAAAAATTTATCCCCCGATTATATCCATCGACAAGAGATAAAATTATCTTGTCCTTATATCGAAGCACGGCAACGGGGAGAAGTATATCCCCGTTTGACATAACGAGTAGACATATCCTCCGTCCGTAGCATGGAGCCAATGGAAGATTAAAAAATTATGCTTTTTTGACATTTGAAAGGGACAATTTTATCCTAGTTCATTGGACGTGGGTTTAAGTTTATATTTATACAAAACATCTATCTAAGTCTAAGTCATCTCCCATTTTATCTACTGTGGATATTATATCCACCTGTGTGCCCAATGCCCATGCTCGAAGAGTGGATAAAACTAAGCGAGGGGATAAACATTTTCCCCTTTTCCCGGGGATAAAATTGTCTCCTGTCCATGCTAGCCCTGCAGGACCACATGAGAAGCACCAGCTTTCAAATAAAAAAAGATTCACCGAGAAAGAAGTTATGAGGTAACACATTAAACAAAACATACAGCCGAATTGAGCACCTCCTCCTTTTTGAAGTCGGTTGAAAAATCAGAACTCTTATAGGGCCACTTTATTGTTTAAACGGGTGGAAGAATCAAGTTGAAATTAATATCACATGCAAGTCTACGGTTCTTTGGAGGTGTCAAAAATTCAAGCTTCTAAGTCGAGGCAAAGATGCGTCCCTTTATGACACATGTTTTGATACTCGCATATTCTGTACCCTATGGGTTTGATGAATGAGTTCGCGATGTGCACATCTAGTTCTACTGCTCATCTATGGACCTATGTTTAGCAGTGGGCTTTTATAGGGAGGCTGTAAGGATGATGATGACGACGACTTCCGTTGACCTAGAATCATGAAATTCAGCAAAAACAAAACAAGGTCGCTGTTCTCAAAAAATATAAAAAAATTCTTGTTATAATCACACATAAAAAGTAAGTTTTTTTTGTACTCTCAAGCAAACTCATCATAATCTATAGGGCCTGTTGATCTTATTTGGTAAGGAGCAGGGTATCACAGCACCAGTAAAGGAAAAACGTGAAATCTGTTGATTTGCAGTTTTTTTTTCTTTGGTAATAGACTCGTACTGTTGTACTTTTGCCAGTGTCAAGTACATTAAGAAATTCTACCTTTAAAAAAAATCTTTCAAAACTTTGTACAATTTGTTGATGTGTCACATTTTGACAGATTTTAAGGGCAGCTTGAGCTAGCAGATAGTCGATGATGATAGTATTTCAAGGCGCCCAAGCAGACACCTTATCTTGAGGTTCACATCACCGTCGGATCACTTCTTTCGTCGTTTCCACTAGTAGGTCACATGCGGATATTTACTACACAAAGTCGCGCAATACACTAACGTATCAAAATCTCATTCAAGGCATTATACTGGGTTATTTTTCAAAGAGTAGCCAAATTTTAAACTTAAGTTCAAATATATATAAATCGTAATGATAATATACCGTTATTGCAGTTTTTGAAAATACGAGTAAATAAGACTTCTACTTTTATTTGAAATTATCCCAAATTGAAAGTGATTTATGGACAACAACTATGCGTACGCGCGTTTCTCTGTTTGTAGGTAATGCAATTCACAACGTTTTTACCTACCGAACGACCCTTACAAAATGTGTGCAGTAAAATCAATCTCAGTTAGTCAAAGTCAAAAGTTAGTCAAAATCAGTTTTTTTTTTATAGAAGAGGGGGCAAACGAGCATGCGGCTCACCTGATGGTAAGTGACTACCGCCGCCCATGAACAACACTGCATTACCACGCATTTTGAATTTAAAAGATAAAAAGGACAGAATGTTTGAGATTTTTTATCCATGCATTTTTCTTCACCATTTGCCTATATAACTTATTCTGAACCTTCTCTGCAAATTTGGCCGGTTATTGCAAAATAACACTGTATATTATTAATATTTCTTTGCGATAACAAACTTAAATTCGCAGTTATAGCTTCATCCATGATGTAGACAGATGTATGTATGTGATAACGTTTTTCGCCTGCAAAGGAGACAATTTCTTTCTGTATTGAGAATGGACCCACCACCGTAACCAGGCGTAGGTTAATGAAACACATGTCGATTTATTCCTTATAACCAATAGATTACAATAGTAATATTAATTTAACCGTATCTAACGGGAATACTGACAAATTAACAGTTTAAATATGAATATCACAATAACCAAAAACAAACTAAAAGCGATTGTTTAGTAGTTTTCACTGTTAAAACAGTGCACTGGTCAATAATTAATAGTATAAAAGAAAGTTGTAGGTACATTCAGCATTTATAGGTACTTTAAGGTTGATGGAATGTTTTTTAGTACTTCGTTCTTTATACGCATTTTTTTTTCATATTACATTAGCCAATTCACGAATAACAAAATTAACTTTTTTTTTTCATATTGTATTATTTTATCCGGTTACATTTTGATAAAATCTTGAGACCGTGTACTGTAATAAATTGGTATCTTTTTTATTGTGTAATAAAATTAAGTTTCGTTAAAGTTTCTAGTGGACCCAAAAACAATTGTCTCCTATAAGTTTGTCCTTCAGTCTGACTTACCTTTTCTATAGAGCAACCTTCGGTGCTTACTTTACCTCATAATTTTAGAACGTTTACTATTTTGGTGAAAGTACCTACTTATCTAGGTGTTTACACTGATATACGTACGTATTGTATATATGTAAATGTATATCTATGTTAATTTACGGAATGCGACGAGGCATTGCAACATAGTTCTCAGGGATGACAACGCATCGTCATTTTGATTCACAATACAGATTAAAGATGTCTTTGGGCTACAGCCAACATCCCCTTACCATCAGGTGAACTGTGTGCGTGCGTGCGTGCGTGCGTGCGTGCGTGCGTGCGTGCGTGCGTGCGTGCGTGCGTGCGTGCGTGCGTGCGTGCGTGTGTGCGTGTGCGTGTGCGTGTCACCCTTATTCTATAAAAAAACGATATACTAAATATCGTTTTTTGTTTGGGTTAAAACCTTAAAATCAGACGCATTAGGCAAGTCCATTGGCTGCCGACTAAGCAGTTGTTAATCATACTTTGTGACAGTGCACGTAGTTATCAGTATTGTAATCCGAATAATTGCTTATTACATCACATCGTTAAGATAGCATGCCTGTCGCTCATAGTTACTAGGGTTTTGGTGTTTACACTAGTGTTCGTAAAAAGTTTACAAGTTTGGCCTGAACAGTTTCTGGTGATTATGTTTTTGAGAGAAGATAAGTTTTTTTTAAAGAATAGCATAACAGTGACAAACGAGCATACATTCCAACTGATGGTAAAGGGATGCTGTGGCCCATAGACATCTACATTTATTCTCGATTAAGAGTTCAGATTCCAACTCATTGTGATGGGAAAAGTTGCCGTGAGAAGGGGCGTCGCTCGCAGCAAAAAGTCATGGTTATGTAACATCCGAGAGTGGACGGTAAACGCGATTACCACCGAACTGTTTCACCTCGAGAAGAGTAGAGCGCGAAGTTCACTAAGCTGACTGCCAACTTTCGCTAGTCGGAGAGGCACTATAATAAGGAGAAGAATTCAGATGCGTTGTCACCCCTGAGGACTAAGATGGAATGCCTCGTTTCCAGTAAAAAAGGGTCTTAAGTAGTAGTTTTGTGAACATCAAGGTTTCCGATCGCAGCGCAAGACGTTCCTTTGATGGTGATCCCCATCACTAGATATGTCTTGTATATACCGAATCTAGCACTAGGTAGTACCCAACACCTATCGAAAGTCATCGGATTAAGGTTGCCAATTTTATTACGCGAGAAATAAAGTAAGTACATTAAGGTCGTAGAGCTAAAAAAAAGTATTTTAGGAAATAAAGAGTATTTCTTTGAAGTTTACAACACTAAAGAAGCTTTAATTTCTTAGGCAATTAAACAATTTAATATCATTTTTAAAATATTCGTAAGGCTCTCTACAATTTAAGTCGAAATTAAAATAAAAGAATGAAGAAAATGAGATTTTTATTTTATTTATAGAAGCCTTATTTCAGATTTTATGGCTCCGGATACCAGCGATTATGAGAACAGTATTATGTATACTTTTTTAATATTACTGTAAACTCTAATGAGATAACAAAATAAAGTAAAATACTGTTTTTAACAATATGGTTGGCAACCCTACATACGGTCTTGGGGTCCCATAGTCGCCTCTTACGATACTCGCGGGGAGAATTTTTTTTTAATAATAAATACTATTTATGTTATTAACATTACTAATTAGGAGTGGTTCATTCACGACAGTGTTCGAACCCAGGATCTTTTGAGTTTGCGGTTCGCACCCTGCCATTGGGCTACCGTCGCTTAAAAATGTGTAATTGGTTGATGGATCCATTTACGTCACCACCACACGTCATAAGTTGAATACTCTTGTAAATATTAACTGTGTAGATTATCCCTTATTACCACAATACATATTGTAAATCTTATGATCACGATTTGCGGTTACCCTAACCTAGTTTACTTAAATAATGTGTTTTGCAATAGGCATAGCACCATCATCATCCATCACAGCCCTTCACAAGTCCACTGCTGAACATAGGCCTCCCCCAAGGAACGCCACAAAGCACTGTCCTAAACCTGCTTGTCTGACTTCCTGCGTGTCTTACCAGGTCATCAATTCATCTAGTGGGAGGCTGCCCTACACTTTGCCTACCGGTACGAGGCTGCCACTCGAGAAACTACTTTCTGCCCCATCGGTTGTCGGTTCTTTGATATATATGGCCGACCCATTGCCACAACAGCTTACTAATCCGTAGGCATGGCATAGGCACTATGAAACATCATGCCAATCTCATAAAACAATTTTAAGAACAACAGGTAAATCCCAATCCGCCGCTATTTTTTTTTTGTAGCATAAGGACGTCTACCTGATGGTAAGTGGATATTGTGGCCCCGAAAACATTTATCGACGATTAAGAATCACAATGCAGATGAGTTGTCACCCCTGAGCACTAAGATGGATTATATCTTACTCAGTAAAATGGGTTTTTGTTTCTGTACACTCACCATACGAAACACGGCAGCGTTAAACTGCTATTTTACGCTGGTGTTCTGTTCTCACAGCTCCCCACGCTCCAGCGTGGTTCTATCCCATTCGACCCGACTTATTCGTGCTACAAAACATAATATAGTTGCAGCGTGGCTCTACCACGTATGTTGTAAAGCCACACTGCCACTATGTGTTGGTGTTTCAATTACTGAAATCCAAAGAGTGAGTTTCGTCAATTTTATTTAAATTTAATTATACACTTTCATTTTACGTAAGTGAATCGTGACCGAGATGTATGCTTATATACGCTAGAGCTCATGTCTCATGTATATTTACGTCATTTGCAAAATGTAAATATATTATGCATTCTTTCAGATTTCTAAAAATAACATAATGGAATTTGCCACTTTTCTGTTGTAGTCAATGCATTAATATTACAGCATATGTTATTGTGCCATCAACTTGTGACATTATGATCTCTTGCGTTGCCAGTTTTGATAACACCATTGTGTGGTAATGATAACTAGCATCTTCGGACGTCAACGAATATACGCATTTTAACTGACTTCAAAATAATTTAAAATTAAAAATTTTGTACAACCGCCTTCAATATTAAACTATTAAGAATAACTCAAAAACTATTGGTCAGACCTTGATCAAATTTATATGAGACCATATGAGAAGCATCAGCTTTTAAATAAAAACAGAATCATCGACATCGGTTCACGTAGAAAAAAGTTATGAGGTACCTAACATACATACATAAGAAAAGAACATACAGTCGAATTGAAACTCCTCCTTTCTGAAGTCGGTAGAAAAGCAGGAGGCTCTCAATTCGATTGCATTTTTTACGTGTTACTTCAGAACTTTTCTTAGGTGAACCGATTTTAATGATTATTTTACCTAAGCTGGTGCTTCTCATGTGGTCCCATATAAATTTGATCAAGATCAGAGTAGTAGTTTTCTACCGACTTCAAAAAGGAGACGATATTCAACTCGACTGTATGTTTTTTTTCTTTTCTTTTGTGTGTTACCTCATAACTTTTTTCTGGGTGAACCGATTTCAAGGATTCTTTTTTTGTTTGAAAGGTGGTGCTTCTCATGTAGTTCCATCCCATATAAATTTGACCAATAGTTTTTGAGTTAGTCTTAATAATTTATATTGAAGTCGATTGTACAAAATGTTTAATTTTAAATTATTGAGTTATCCTTCATAATGCGTATTTATTTGATTTCGACTACAATGACGATGTACAGAATTTTTAATTTTACCGCTTGTTATCTTTAACAACTGTTTTATCTGCATAAGACGTTACGGTGTTATAAATTAATAAACGTCAAATTGTTAAGGATTTTCTTGTGTTGAATTTTATTACAAGTTTTATATCTACACTAGCTGATACCCGCGACTTCGTCCGCGTTGCTTGATATATCTTAAAACTTTAATAACTTTATATTAAATGAAGATATCGCAATATTTTTTTTTTTTAGATAAGGGTCAAGTGTCTAAGAAATAAAACTTAGAAAACCTAATTGAAATATTATATCCAGTAGTTTTTCCGTGATACGCGCACAACTGCAAACCTCTATCATTTTATTTACCTATATAAATTATACTAAGTACGCCGTGTAATGGCAGCCTAGGAAAACCCATTACCCCATTGCTAGTACTGATATCCTAAGGTACAGGATTAATCTTAGTTAGGGAATCAATGTAACAATTCCTTTGTAACTTTTATGAGTTTAAATAAAAATTATTATTTCATCATGTGCGTATCGTTGAGTACCGTCTCCTTTTTGAAGATGGTAGAAAAGTCATAAATAGCGAACTCTGTTTCAATATCACATTGTTACTTTGTCATCGACACTAGAATAAATAAACCTAGCAAGCTAACAGCATAGCAAAGTGGCGAATCAATCAGCTTTGTAGCGGTTTCTAACGGTTGCCGTTGAGCAAACAGTTTCAAAATAGGAGGTTCAGATGCCTGGGTGATCAGTAATCGATTGCTGAAAACAGAATTTGAAAATTCAAAACCGTTCTCGATATAATCGTGGGACAGACGAACAGACGGACAGACATCGTGAAATCAATAAGTGACTTCGCAAGTTTCGCCACTTAATAATTGACAAAATAGATTTTGTTAAAAAGGAGTTACCTCAGGAAAGATTATATAATATAAATTTGGTGAAGATCTGATGATTGCAGAGGCATCTGCACGACATATGGGCGTATAATTCTTTACTGCGTCAACTTTAATTGATAATATTCTTTTTAACCGACTTCAAAAAAGGAGGAGGTTTCGGATTTAATTCGGATGTTTATATTTTTTTATGTATATTGGGGCATAACTACGTCATATATAAACGGATTTGCAAAATTCTTTTTTGTTCGAAATATTTTTATGATGAGTTTCGGAGACAGACAACGGAAACCGCGATTGCTGGTATCGCATATATCTGCATTGTTTGTTTGCATTGTTTACACAATCACACAACATAACATTTCGCCTGTACCCTCTAAAGGGGTACGCAGATGTGTTCAGTATACCACGGTACCGCTCATTTCTGTCTAAGTTGTTATATTGAAGTCGGTTGTCTAAAATTTTTAATTTTACCACTTGTTAGTTATTTGAAATCGATTTTTATTTTTTAAAGTTTAATTACTTTTAAAATAAATGAAATCATTCGTATCTTATGAGTATGTTGTGTAAGAGTGAGATATCTTACTTATAATTAGACTTTATTGAGAATTTATTTTGTTTTACTTCGAAAAATGATTAGGAAATATGTTATTGGAACTCAAGGTGTTACTGAAGTGTGGCCAGTAGTACAGTCGGTCATTTGAGAGGTATCTTATAAAAATATCAGTACTTATCAAGGTTTGCCCGTGACCTCGTTAGGTGAGCGTTAGAATTTATTAAGTTACAAAATGGTTCGATTGATATTATGTTTACGAATAATGCTGGACTTCTATTTTTTTTTCATTTATTATTGCATTGACTTCAAGGCTTTTAGTCACTGTGAACACGCCTTGTTCATCTTTTTCATCAGCCTTAATCGTAGACTTTAGCAGGCCGGATTGCTAACCGCAGTACCAGATTTTCTTGCATTTTGCCCATTGCTGGTCTGAGTAGAAACAGAAACTTTTTTATTCACTATAGATTATAAATAATACTTATTAAAAGTCACTCTATTCTTTAATTTACGGAAAAAAAACCTCCGTCCTGGGAAGAACCAGCAAGTAACCCAGCGGAACTTGTTTTTTTTTAAAATAACATCTTACAATCATGTATGTTACACAATTAGCAACACAAAACAAATTAGAAATAGCTTGGTAGCGATCCCCTCATTCCCAGGGGTTATTAATTATAATCATTCATAAAATCCTTAATATTGTAATAACCGTTTTTATACAAACTTAGTTAAATAAAGTTCTTGAATTTTGAGCAGGTCAATTTTTTATAGTATTTTTGTCTGTTGTTAACGAATCCATTTTGATGATTTTCTGACATTTTCCATTGTTGCCTCCAATTTCTTTTCCCTCTGTCGCCTCTTACGAAATCTACGGGCTACTGGGATAATGAATTCTCCTAGGCCGCAACTATACGCGGAGTATAAACGCTATAAAATTCTTTACAATATGTTAATCCGACACATTTCGATTCATTCCGACATATTTTGTTTTATTTTAACCGGTGTAAGTATATCCACTATCCTATACCGTCCCGTGGCTGTTGTAAGCATATTCCTGAATACAACTCAAAATTATAAATTACTGCGGTTGCCAACCCGCCTGCCAAGCGTGGAAACTATGGCAGTCACCCCCTCCCACACTCCCTATGAGGAATTTTATTGGGAGGTCTACTTTCAGCGTTGGTTTTTTAATTCAACTGCATTACCGCCTATGTTTTGTTCCAGACGTAACGCTGGCGCTGCACCGAACTTCGCCATAAAGACGCTATTGGGAGTCACCGCAGGCTCCATCGGCGCATTCGTGGGCACACCCGCCGAAGTTGCGCTGATCCGCATGACAGCCGATGGACGCCTGCCCGTCGAGCAACGTAGAAACTACAAGAACGTCGTCGATGCGCTCCTCAGGTACGTACTGAAAGTCTAAAAGTGTATTTCTAGTAGTGAGAAATAGCAATAGAAACTAATTTTACGAATTTTATCCATCGATCACTAATAAAAAAACTAGATACACAATCAGTGACAAAAATGTCCTTACCGAATGAGCGCCCACTCGAACATTTGGGTGCGCTTTTCATTTGTACGTAGCTTTGTGAATACAACTTTAGGCAATGCATTTAAGGTTGAATTTACATTAATGTATACTTATTTCAACTAGAATTACGTTAAAACAATTGGCGACAGTTTTTATACCGGGTTTAGACTCTCGCCTCGCGCCACGCCGCGTACCTCGGCTCGCAGCTCGCGTGTTGTTGCGAGGTAACGAGTGCCTGTTTATTACACTCCGCGATGCGTTCAGTTTCCGTTGATCCAGCAACGATGGAATAGGTCTGGGTCGTATCGCGTTTTCTGAGAATCGTATCTAAATCAGATTTCGAGTTTCAATATCTGATATCAAAACTATATATTTCAATATCTATATATTCTGCGTACACTTGTTTATATTTTCTACTCCGATACGCTGTTGAAATCTGATACGAGGATTTTATAGTTACTCTTACCTATTCGATGCGAATCAGTATTGTAGATATATTATAGTAAATTTATATTATGTTATCTTGTTGGAGCTAATGCAGATATAGTTGTAGTTTTAACTTTATTATTTTAAAGTTTTGAACTAGTTATTTATTTACAACTAAATACTCAATTAAAATAGTTCAATAAAATATATAATATAAAATAGTAGGTATTTACAGTGTCTTTATTATTTATTTACATCACAAATTGCATTTAAAAGAATAAAAATTGCAACTTTCTCCTTCCACTACATTTACTCTGGCAGATCTGTTAGAACTAAAAATAAATTGAAAATTCTATATAAAATGATGTTATAAAATGCACTCGATTTTAGACTTTAAAAAACAATCAGATTTGAAATTGATATTTATTAAAGTTAATGAAATAACTTTGTAACGTAACGATGTCATAAAAATAGTTCGTAAAGTTATGATGATTAGGTTCTAAATCATATACTATTGGGTTACGCGACTGGAAAGAAATTGCCGCACCGCTCCTGTATTTGTCTCGGCCGGAACAGTTAGTTATAAAAAATTGCAAATTTATTAAATAAATAAAATAAACGATAATGAATAAAATAACATATATATCATAACATATATAACATATATATCATAATATATATAACATATATATCATATAACATATATATATATATATATATATATCATATTCCAGTCCATTCAAAATCATTCACGATCGATTTCTTACCTAACCGTATTGATGCCATCTAGCGTCTTCTTTACGTTACAACTTGAGAGTCAATCACTTTTCGTTCGATAAAATGACTTTACCCATAGAATGGAGTAGATGGCGGTTTACAAAGAAATTTTATGATTTATTACATTAACATTCACATGTTTAAAAATAAGGATTGTAACAATTATTTGCTAAATATAAATACTTAAAGTCAAACTTATACCCAATATGTTATGCTGAACTTGTTTTTGACAATTATCATATTAAATAAATCGTTTGCGGTTAAATCTTTTGAAGTGTTGTTTTTATTAAAACGTACGAAATGATATTTTTAACACATAGGTGTAACGCTATTGACTGAATTCATTAGTGGTTGATGTTAATTTTATGTACTTTGTTGTTGCGATATTGGCTGAAATATTGGTTGATAGGTAGTAATTTCAACAAAAGGGCGCCAGTTTGATATTATTTTGTTTAGTTTACATTTTCATCAAAATATTACAAGGGTATTTATATAAAAACTTGAAAAAATAATTACTAGGGAAGTTAATTAAGATTTAGTGAAATTGGTTTTTTTTTAATTATATAGTGTACTCTACACTCCATAGTACAAATATAAGATTTTAGTAAGACTTTAATTTTCCGCCATGTCTAATCTAATACCCATATCGCTCGCACTCTGTCGCACACGGCGAATCTAGCCACCGACCGATGCGAAACGATTTAGGCAATATATTGTAGCGAGCGGCGTGCCGGCCAAATGCTCAAGGTCGTTCGCATGGAGTAGCCCCTTAAAACGAAATTGTACAACCAGTGCGTGTTGCCAGTGATGACTTACGGATCTGAGACGTGGTCCTTCCCTGCTGGCTGTATGAGGAAGTTCAAGGTCGCTCAGCGAGCTATGGAGAGGGCTATGCTCGGGGTTTCTCAGCGTTACCAGATGAAAAAATTAAAAGTCCGGAGAAGAGGCCTGATTTCCATTTTAAAATCCTGAGATTTTTTACAGTTTGTGAAGAAAACCTTAAAAAGGTATCTTCACATATTAAGTATGATAAAACTGTTTAAGTACCTACTTGGATAAATAAGTTTTGATTTTAATTGTGGAATTATTACCAAAGGAAAATTATTTTTAGTTTGTTTAACTTTTTATTAAAGAGATCTTTAAAATGTAAGCTGTATTATATTGAAAGTTCTAATAATCCTGAGATTTCATGACATTTGCAAAATCCAGCCGCAATCCTGAGAAGAGTCTCAAAATCATGAGATCTCAGGACAAATCCTGAGATATGGTAACCCTAATCGCGGCGGTACGCAAATATCAGATTTTGTAATACATAGTTTTCGAACCGGTATAATATCTATATCGCTCGCGTTTCGTCGCACACGGCGAATCTAGCCACCGACCGATGCGGAGCGATATAGGCATCGCGGCGGTACGCAAATATCAGATTTTGTAATATATAGTTTTGAAACGAACCAGTAAGCGGTTTTTAGATATTGTACCAATATATAGATTTCGTATCAGTATACGGTTTGCATCGCCCACCTCTACGATGGAAGACGTCGAAATAATAGCGGCATCAACTCTTGCCTTAATAAGTGTTTATCCATGCTTGACCATTTTAAAAAAAAGGAAATTAATAAAAATACGTCGTTGAGGAAGAATATGACTGATGATATCTATTCCTTGAAACAGAACCTTTTCAGTTTCATAATTTTATATAAATTGCTAGTACCTATTGTGCAAGATTAGATAATATTATTTTATTAAAATTGTAATTTTAAAACAAAAGCAATCCGAATGTTATTATGGAAGAGCGCCGTAAGCAAACTGAAACGAGACGCGTGTGTAAACAGCACGCTCGCGTCCCTTGCGAGGCGCTTTGCCTCGTGCCCAAAAAACCGCCTCCGACGTGAGCGCCGCGAGTGGCGAGGCGAGCAGCGAGGCGAGCCACGAGCTAGCGTTTACACTCGTACCTCGTGGCTCGCCTCGCCGCTCGCGCGAGTGTGTAAACGGGGGTTAGAAAACTTTTGCATGGGATTGTGTATCCAGTTTTTTATTAGTGATCGATGATTTTATCACGTTTAATTGCACGCCTCACAACGTGAGGGAGTGCTCTACTCTCGATATGTATGCGTAAATATAAGAAATCATTATAAATAGAAATACACTCTTTATTTTTATTCAATATTGATTATTAAATAAGTAATATTTACTTATTTAAAGTCATTCTTATGTTTAATTTACCGCTGGCTTGGAATATACCTCTGTTCTGGAAGAACCACAAGAAACCCAGCGGGAGATATTATTGAAAAAGAACAATTTACAATTATACATTATGTCACACTAAACAAGTTGGAATCACCTTCCGAATTCCTTAATATTATAATAATCCATTTTATACAATCTTTGTATAATAATGTTTTTGAATTAGGCGGAGGACACATTTTTGTATATTTTCTGGGATTTTGTTGTAAAAGCGTATTATACATCGCCCCAAGAATGAATTACTGACTCGGTGGAGTCGAGTAGCAGTTACCATTACCTTTTGTCAGTTCTTAGTATTTACGGAGTGAATATCAACTACATCTACTCATATACTTTGTGATGTAGCCAATATTGTCTGTGACGCCTGTAACCTCTCTAACATTTGGTAGTGCAGCGGGCACACACTCGACTGTGGCCGTGTTCACTCGTTCACTGCTTGTTCCGAAACTTGCTTGTCGTGATGGAGCTCGATTTTTAAAAGATTTTCTCACGGTAGCTAACTGTGAGTGTGGTGCTTGTTTGTTACCCTTATTCTATTAAAAAAAAATATTTATAGGATTGTTAAAGAGGAGGGTGTGTTTAAACTATGGCGTGGAGCAACTCCCACTGTAGCGAGAGCCATGGTGGTGAATGCAGCTCAACTCAGCACTTACTCACAGGTAATAATCTATAAAATAAATTATATTATTTGCTACATTTTCTTAAAATTAGAGTCCTGAACTAAAAACATATAGACCAAAATTTTCAACCGACTTCAAAAAAGGAAGAGGTGCTCAATTTGACTGTATTTTTTTTGTGTGTTACCTCAGAACTTTTTTCTAAGTGAACCGATTTTGATTATTCTTTTTTGAATGTTGGTACTTCTCGTGCGGACCCATATAAAGGGGAATGCCCAATTCTGGCCATGAAACGCCCAACAATTTGCATTTGTTAAAAAAATACATCTTTTTTATTGTAATTAATCGCGGTATTTATGTATCCAAAAAAGATTGCAATATATTTGCACAAAAAAAAGTACCGAAAAGATAAAAATGAAATTAGGTAAATCCGGAATTCATTAGTTTGTGGATAAAATAAAAAGTGTTGCCAATCACAAATCTCGTTAAAATGTCGATTTTGTTTTTTCAATCGATTCTTTATGGTGTCATTATTATAATGGTGATATTATATTTCGATAATTATTATGATGTTATGATAATTAAACAAGCGAAGTGCTAGTTGATTTACCATGAACTCTTTATACCATATCAAAAACGCTACTGCACATTTTAACTGTTAATCTTATCTGTTCTTAAAAATACATTTAAAATGGAATTAAAATAAATAAAACAAAACATATTTTAAAAGAAGCGCAGATCTTAAAGCGAATCAAAGACTATTCTTTTTTATGAAATTATAAATCGAATAAAAAAATCCCTATTTATTTATCGATTTTTTATGTCTGTTAATTGGCAACATCGAATCTGACAGCTAGGCCCATGTCATAATTATCAAAACTAAATAGTCACAAGTCGAATTCCTTTGCATTAGTGTTATTTTGTTTGTTTTCTCGCAGATTTGTAATCTAAACAACGAATAAGCTTTCTAAATGGACTCCGATAATTCTTCTCACCCTATTGACCACGGCCTGAAAATGAATCCCGCTGCCACTTCTGCACGAACTTGGACTCGATATCCACTGTTAACGATGACCCCAGCTTTCACGCCGGCCAGAGTTCTTCCCAGCTCTCAGTAACTCATTCAAGAGGACATTTACGGTGTATCAATTGTGGTTTAAATGTCACGAAAATACGAAGTCATGTGTTGTTAAAAAGTGTTCTTGTGAAAATGAAAAATCTTTATATCTTAAAAATCCGGACTTTTTTTAAACCAATTCCTTAACCATTTCATTTTCTTAATTGCATATTATCATTTCCATATGCTTTTATATGTGGGCACTCATGGCCAAAGTGTCTATGAACGGTGGGCATTCCCCTTTGATCAAGATCTGACCAGTAGTTTTTGAGTTATCCTTAATAATGCGTATTTAATTGATTTCGACTACATTGGTGATGTTCTCATTTTATTTATATTGAAGTCGGTTATACAAAATTTTTAATTTTACCACTTGTCATCTTCATTTTTAAAAGTTCATTGCTGGATTAACCTTAACGTCACGCTCGGCACGCTTGACGATCGTAGCACCTGAAGTATCGCCTATGCAATGACGATATGATATACAGGGTTATAACCGGCCAAATTTGCAGAGAAGTTCAGAATAAGTAATATAGGCAAATGGTGAAGAAAAATTAATTAAATAAATCTCAAAAATTCTGTTTGTTTTATCTTTTAAATTCAAAATGCGTGGTAATGCATTATTTTAATTGATTTTACTGCGCACGCACACATTCGTAAGGGTCAATCGCTAAGCAAAAACGTTGTTGCCCAAAAATCACATTGAATTTGGGATAATTTCAAGTAAAAGTAGAAGCCTTTATACGTATTGTTACGAGCTTGGGGTTCGAGACAATTAAAAACTGCCGATTGACTTAACAAAATTGACACTTTAATTACACAACGCTAATTACAATCTAAAATCACACTAATAATAAAACACAGTTCGCCGTTATTTCGCTTCGAAGTATTCTCTTGTATCGCCAATTCAATACTGCCCCGGTCGTGGTCTATACCGGCCTTATATAGGGCCTCAGATAGTTTCCAGAACCTTCTACTGTAGCGACATCTAGAATGTTCGAGTACATATCGGTCCCGAAATTTCTGGAAGGATCTCGACTCTCCTAGTTCTGCTACTCGACACTAGAGGGCGCTAGTGTAACTAGTGTTGCCATGTACAAGACATTAATAGTGGCGCGCAATACTTTCATTTACTCGACACTAGGGGGCGCTAGTGTAACTAGTGTTGCCATGTACAAGACATTAATAGTGGCGCGCAACAGTATTTTCAAAAACTTTTTTATACGTTTGAACATAAGTTGAAAATTTGGCTACTCTTTGAAAAATGTCCCAAATTTTAAAAAAAATTGGTAAATCAAATTGGGCATGCCCTAAGCGCATAACATGATTATACGGAATTTTTAAAGTAGTTTAAATACACACATTTTTCACCAATAACCTTATTATACTTCCAATTTTCCGATAATTTTCTGTCAAACTTCAATTTAAAAAGAAGTTTGGAAAATCCAAAAGTGCATGACACATAATGCTCATATGAGAGTAAAAATATTAAAAATAAATGTAATTTGTAGTTTTATTCGTCAACGAATTCCAGCAGCAGTGATCAAAGTATACTTTCAAGTCACTCTATCTAGTCCGGAGGTAAAGTCTCATCATAACTAACAAAACAAGCCAAACTCTGCACATCATCTAGTTCTCCTCGTCGAGGAGTTCCAGTAGCAGTCATCAAAGTACACTTTTAAGTCACTCTATCAAGTCCGGAGGTAAGGTCTCATCATAACTAACAAATCGAGCCCAAACTCGGCACATCTAGTTCTCCTCGTCGAGGAGTTCCAGTAGCAGATACCGAAGTACACTTTCAGGTCTATAAAGGCCAAGACGTATAATTACATATATTTATATATAAATCCTGCGTGCTTTTGGCGAAACAAAATATTGTAATAAAAATCTGTGATTATAAAAATAATAATAATATCTTACCTTAGTCAAGTATGTATCAAATTTGGTTTATGGAATATTTTGCATTTCTACGGCGATCTTTTTCGCTGCAAACAAGCGGTACGGTATCCACTCACGACGGCGGCCGAGGCCGGAATGACCAGTTATATAATATATATGTTTTGTGGGAATTACGGAGTGAGACACTAATCTATAATAGTTTATTTAGTTAAATAGTACAAAGCTGCTTAAAACACCGAAAATTTCGCCATTTCTTAGCCGAAAAAAATTAATAGCAAAACAAAATTACACTGCCATTTACATTCCATGGCTTCCCACATGATAGATGAAGAGTTTAAAAAATAGATTGAGTTGAACAATTGATATTTTCAAAAGTTATCGTGTTTACGATACCATGTGAACTTAATAAATCCACACTATAAGCCACTAAAACCCCTTTTTTTATTTAAAAATAGCAATTAATCGATTTAAAAAAAATATTAATAAGTTCAACGATCATTTATTTTTCTGACAATGTGCTTTTTATATCACTTATATATACAATATGATTGCTAGATACGATTTCATGCGACAAAACGTTGGAGTCTTAATTTTTAGGTCCTAGTGGAACATACCGAAGCGCTTAGCGCTTATGGCATGCAAAATTAAAAAAGTTTTTTTAAAGAGTAACCAAATTTTAAACTTGAGCCCACTACCCCGTATAGTCCCGTGGGTGTCCTGAGAACCGACAGAGGGCAATTGAAACAAGAGTTAAACAGCAGCAGTTTCCCTATAACAATTCAAAATTATAAATAAACTGCGGTTGCTAAAACGCCTCCCAAGCGTGGCTACTGTGGAATAGAATAGAATAATGCTTATACAATATAGATTACAAGTAGTTAATTGTATATTGAAAGTATTTTTCTTTTACTTTTACCACCAGTTCGGAAAAAACCTCTGCCTTGGGAAGAACCAGCTCAAAACCCAGCGGGACTTTTTTTAAAGTAAATTATACAGTAACAAAGGTTGTAGATAGATAGATAATTCTTTATTGTACACCAAATCAATACATAAGCGAAAGAAAAAGAAAAAAATAAAGTGACAAAATGGACGGTCTTACCGCTAAAAGCGATTTGTTCCAGACAACTTTTGAATGGACAGGATTACTAAAAGCAAAAAAATTTTGTGGTTTAGTGATGCAGTAACAATATTTATAAAGATTTCCATCTAATATATAGATTTGTATATATATGTAGTTGTACATACTACTTACAAAAAAATATTTATTAACAGCTTGGAGACGACCATGTATTCATTTTTATTGTATTATTTATCGACAACTAACAATATCTTATAATAAGGCATAAACATTGACCTTACCGTTACATATTAAAAATAGTATAAGTAAAGAGTTAATACAAATCTAAAATGAGTTAAATAAAACACATTTCGAGTTATGACAATAGTGCTACGGAAAAGTTAATGTTCTATCCTCCGTAGTGATTTGCACTGTATTACGGCAGGCGTATTTTGTAGTCATCTTCCTCAAGGGCAACAACAATTATCACTTCAATCAGTTTCAGTGTATTATAACAGTTTTTGTTTAATAAAATATTTAAAATTGGTAATATAAAGACGTTGTATATTTTCTGGGACTTTGTTGTAATACTATACCTATATAATTATCCTTCTTACGATTCAATCTATGGGGAGGACTATATCTAGCAGTTGTCTTTAATGGACTGTAATTGATTGATGGATCTATAAGAAATCATAAGATCATAAGATTTATCTAATATTTCCCATAGAAGCCTCTTACTTCAACCGTGGGACAAAACTGCTATCGTTACCGTTACAGCCTATTAAAGTCCGCTGGCTTATAGGGGGGATATTTGCCATAGTTGCCACGCTTGGCAAGCGGCTTGGTAAACGCAATTTTTTTTAATTTTTAGTCGTTATTAGGTAAGACGCTGTTGACTATCTCCTGATTTGTTTCCCTCTATCGCCTCTTACGACACCCACGTGATTATATGGGGTAGTGGATATTCTTACACCGCCACTACACGGTAAATGGGACAAAATGCGGTGATGAATCTCATGCCACCAAACAAAGACAAGTAGACAAATAATATAACTGAATGATTTGTTTTACAGGCAAGAGAGTTATTCGTGGGATACGTTCCGGACGGGGTAGTACTTCACTTCTGCGCCTCCATGGTGTCCGGCCTCATCACAACCTTAGTGTCAATGCCAGTTGACATTATCAAGACCAGGTATATTCAGGCTTGTATATTTTGAGCTACATACACGCTGCAGCTAATATTATAGTTGTAGCACGAATGGGTCGGCTCGACCGGAGAAGACCACGCTGTCACAGAATACCAGCGTGAAATGGCAGCTTAATGCTGCTGTGTGTTTTGTATGGTGAGTGTACAGAACTGGATATCCTTTTTACTGGAAACGAGGCATTCTATCTTAGTTCTCAGTGGTGATAACGCATCTGCATTTTGATTCTTAATCGTGGATAGATGTAGATGTCCATGAGCCACAGCTTCCACTTACCATCATGTGGATTGTGCCATAGCATTAGTGCTAAAACTATAATATCAGCATGGCTGTATCACATCTAAAACTATCCCACACAACAAATATCAGTTCTATGAGGCAGTTTATGATGAGGGAGGCCTCAGCAGTTAATTTTCGATGGTTTGTATTGATTGTTAAACTACATGAATAATAACTATACGATATAATATACCACCATCTATTGAAAACCATAAGAACATACAAGCATTTCCCATAACTGACTCATACGCCCTTGGGATTAGGGTAAAATATTATCTACCGCTACTGTTACACGGCGATATCAAAGACTTCCGTGTATATTACTAGACTGGCTTTGCCCACTAAGTTACGGTTAATTCTCCGTAACTCTTTTAGTCGATCGCGAGCGGCCGAAAATACTAGTTCTGTGTTTTGTAAACCGCAAACATTGTTTTTGACAATCTAACACTACCGTTACAGCCCATTAAAATCCATTGCTAAACATAGGCCTCCCCCATAGATTGCCACATAGGGGGGAGCGGTAGTTGCCACGCCTGGCAAGCGGGTTGGCAACCGAAGTTTTTTTTTTTTTAGTCGTCATTAGGAAGACGCTGCTGCCCATTTCCTGATTTGTTTCCCTCGGTCTTACGACACCTACGGGATGATATGGGGTAGTGAATATTCTTACACCGCCACTACACGGTCATTTCATCCTTTATTTCGTTCGAAATCTCAATACTAATTAAACCACTAAATTTATGACAGGAATGTGCTCTTAATCGTCCATCATGGAGAAAGTAAAAATATTAAAAAATGCTTAAAAATTAAGTCGCTTAAAATTAACTTTAAATTTTATTAACTTCTTGATGACCTACTTTATTGCTTTTTTTATTTGACTTTTTTATTACTTAACGTGTAAATCAGTTATCAACGGATTCGAACTCACCAACACCAAAGAAATTGTTTATTGTAATTTTATGTGTTGATTTACCACGTGCTCGGCGGTTAAGGAAAACACCTTGAGAAATCTTGCAGAAAATTTTTTTTTTGAAGACGTAAAATTCGCCAACGCATTGGGGCACGCTCCTTCTTTGCCCTAAAACCTTCTCCGAAATGAGAGAAGTCCTGTGACCAGCAATGGGACGTATATATGTTGTAACTTTACTTTTCTCCAAAATATTTCAGGATTCAAAACGCGGCCAAGGGTCAAAGTCAAATGGAGGTCGTGACAAACCTCCTTCGTAATGAAGGAGTGTTTGCTCTATGGAAAGGCTTCCTGCCCTACTACGCTCGTTTGGGACCTCACACAGTCCTCACGTTCATATTCCTCGAGCAGTTGAACGCTGCATACTTCAAATATACGTAAACTGTAGTGCCTTTGATATAGAGTTGAATGTCGCATGATAATTGTATGGCTTTTATGTTGAAAAAATTATGTAAGGTATTAGATTCGATAGAATTCTACATTATACACTATTATAAATTATTACTCTGTTGTGTAGTTTCTGGAATTCAATTTTGATGTCAGATATTAAATAAATGACATGCCATATGATATTCTTCTCCATGTGTAGTCTATTAAAGTATATTTTTATATGACAAAACAGATACTGATCGTATTTATTATAACATTGTGCTCAAAAAGTTAGTATCGAGCTATATAAGAGCTTAGTATAAGAGCTATTGAATACACAGTCGCGTAGGCTTTGGTAATAACTGATGAATAATATGCAAGCTATTTTAGACCTTATTGCCTACATACTAGAACTTAGATTAAAATTATTGTATTTTGCATCTTTATCATTTTATCAGTTTGGCATTAAATACTCCTTAAATTGTTTTTTAGTTTTAAAACTGTGTGATTTTTCTACAGTTGCCATATCTAATAGAAATAGCCTCATTGCAGCTTTGAATTTTAGTGAATTTAAATAGTTCCTTCTAGAATTTTTGTTGCCATCTAAGTAACTAAGTTACAAATTTACAAAATGGTGGTAATTAAGAAGCTAAGGTAGGTAATGTTGCCTATTTGATAATGCCAAATATATTACTAGCAATTGTATTTTATTACGAAACCTAATAAACCATGATATGAAACCGGTATCTTAGAACCTGAAACGATACCATGTTATTATGGAACATTTATTTTATTTATGTATTTTTTCGGAACCTACTTTCAATCCCTGTTTTGATAAAATAATTGATTACTTATGTACTACAGTCGGTACGGATAAAGAATGGGATTAGAAATGGCGGCTCATCGAGCCCGTACCGTTTATATTCACAGTATCAATAGCGAAAACTCACTAATAATGGTATATAGTTATAACGTTATATTATTTGGTTAATTGGAAATTTTCTGTTAGTAAGAAATTATTTGAAAAGAATTGTTTACCCAAATTGGTACGTTAATTTTAAAATAACATCTATTAATGTGGTGTTATTTAGACTTATGATAATCATTAAAAACCATTTATTTTATCTTACCAATGTTTCTATTTTAATAAAGCCTCTAAATTTTTCGGATAAAGTTTAGTCTAGATTCCTGGTATTAGTTTCTATTTGTTCATGAAGTTTTATTACAATCGGTTCAGCCCTTCTGAAGATTAACTTGGACAGACAGTCAAAAGAAAATTTTAAAAAAGGAATGTCTCAATGCCATGTAAATATACAAAAATATTAACAAATGAAATCAACAATTATTATGAAGAAAACTCAGAACGCGTCTTACCTCACAAATTAGCAAAACCGGACTGATTGTTTTTGTAATTTGTGATATTATATTATCATTGATTCCAATGAAAAATTGAACTGAAGTTGTAGAACGTTACGAAAAACGCATATCGCAACGTATTTTTTGTAGTTTTTACCGGCGGTTGTGAGTATAGATAGCGACAGTGTGCGAGCGAGAAGTGAATAGAGGCGACGCCATTTTCAATCCCATTCTTTAACCGCACGGGTAGTAGATATTTTTTTATAAAACCAAAAAGTGACAACAACCCTACAGTCCACCTCATTGGTCAGTCAATTTCAAACAAAGAAGGTTTAAGATGTGTTGTCACCTCTGAGGACTGAGATGGAATACCTCATAGCTTGTTATTATACTGGCTCTGTATACCCTTCAGACCGGAAAACAGACGTGCAGGCAACGCTTTTTTTAAAATTAAGATTATTGGCTTGGATGCTTGTCCTTTAAGCCATGAAAGCAACGCTGTTTGGCAGCAGGAATAGGTAAGAGAACTAATACCAGTAATACGTACTGTATTTGAAATGTTAGTGCCAAATGCTAGGCACAGGATTTTTACGTGGGAAAAATAGATGACAAATTCTATAAATGTTTATTTCTAACAAATTTTGTTTTAATTTATGAAATTTCGTGATGTGAAAATTTTTGGAATAAAATTCCATACCTCTAAAATGCATATGATATATAAATATAAATTAATATTGTCGTGTATAAATAATTAGTAGTGTCGGTCTGTTATAATAGAATAACTGGCTTCTATTGAGCTCAGATTCTATTGAGACATAAATATCCATTATTAAAATTTTGTCTGTCTGTCTGTCGGTCAGTTCTAATCTTCGGAATGGCTGAACCGGTTGTGATGGAACTTTACGAACAGTTAAGGAAGGATCAAGGCTATATTTTATTAGAAAAATTTAAAGATTTTTAAAAAAACCCGTTGATTACCTTAAATCTACGAGTAAATAAATTTTGAACGTTCAAAACACCACTATTATAATCTAGCTACATATTCCAATAGATCTTATTCCAATATATATTATTTTTAATGCAAATTTAGTTTGTTTTCAGATTAACTTAGTCTTTTTCAATTTAATATTACTACGCTGTATGTTATTTTGACGGTGTTTGTTTGGTAAAATTATTATGTTCTTAAGAAAACTTGGCCTGATATTTGTTAAAGGAATTTCTTATAACTAAACTCTATAAAATATGACATAAATTTAAGAAATGGTTGTTAAGATGGTCTCTCTCTTTTCACTCAATGACAATAGAAAGAGACAGGTATAGAGATATTATTACTTAATTTAAGTAAGCGCTAATCAACTTGCACTGGTAACGTATACGTATAATGGTTTGCTTTTAAAGATATATTAAAATTCATAGTTCGTTTTTCGAATACGACATTAAAAAGGTTTCAAGTACGCACAAAACGTTATGTATATTTTAAAGTGGACAATTAAAGGAAGTGTAGTTAAAGTATTTTGAAGGATACCGATAATGTTTATTTTTATACCATAAGTTTGTATAAAAATAAACATTTGCACAAAGTACTGCAATATTTATATCGAACTATTGTATGTTTTAACTATTACTACACTAGTATTAAGTTCCGCTATGTATTCAATTTTTTATATAAATCGGGCATGCTTCCAAAATTATTAATAAAAAAGGAAATATTAATTTATTAAAACATTCACCTAGATAACCTAGAAGATACCACGTTAAAAGTAAGTTATGTATTTGAAAGAAAAAAAAAACAATAAGTCTCAGTAGAATGCATGTCTTTTTATCTGTGGTACTCGTAGTTTTAAAATTTTATCTGATACTAATTCACGACGGAAATGTGGATGCCTACAATATCTATACAGGGTAATTTTTAATTTACTGAAGACCTTTTGGGAATATATTATATACATCATGACAACAATATATGTAAGAAGAAAAAAAAATTCGTACAAAATTAAAAATAACTTAATTCGAACTTCTAAACGGTAATAATTTTAGTATTAGCAAAAGAAAGTTCGTGGCGGAGTATGGGTGGAGGGGTGGAGGAGGCGGCGCTTACTCATTTGAACTTGACTTAATTACATGTGACGTCACTCGTCAGTGCAGTTGCCTTTGATGCGCCCGCGACGATTGTCCTTCCGCTGTGAGATTAATATTGCGAACGTCGAAAATTAGCATCGCAAAGATCATACTTTATAATTAAGTACCTATTATAAATTTTAATATTTATGATTTTTTTAAATGTTATTTGCTTATTTTATTATGTATAATGATTTCCACACGATGTGTGATACTGATATCAAGTGTAAAGAAATTAAAAAGGCATTGTCTTTGACGATTTATTCTGAAATTTTTTAGGTACTACAAAATACAAACTTAAAATGACTCAGATATGACAATAAAAATTTAAAAGTTTATTTTGTAAATGTATTATATTCTGTAAAGAGTGATTTAACTAAAATTGTTTGACATGATGCAACCAATACATTCTCTAAAGGTCTTTAGTAAATTAAAAATGACCCTGTATATAATTTTTTTTAAATATGTTTTTTTTTTAATATACCACGTTTTATTTTCGTGCGATTCTGAGATATGTTCAAAATTTTAAGTATGTAGCTTATCGGAAAGTTAGTTTAAAATCAATTACTAAATTCGACCCGAACAGACGCACCACGAACCAACGAATTAATAAAAACATGGTAAAAATAAAGATATTAATTCGATACTTACAAAATTCCATCAATGAAGGAGACGCTCCATGTGATATAAATTTAATATAGTTATGAATTTGATAAATATATTTTTATAGAGGCGGTTTTATTTTTATTTGTGACTAATATTCGCGAGAGTATGTCTCAATTATTGTTAATAAACTTTGTTTGTTTTGATATTAGATTTTTATTTAGAATCCCTAACAGATGTATTTTATATAGAATACTAGCTGGTACCCGGCGCGTTGCAGCCGCAGAAGAAATAATTGTGGAAATATCTTTTTAAATTTGGAATGGTTATATGCCCCTCACTATATGGAGTGACGACCGAGTAAGACATGCAGGAAGTCGATAGATGCAGGTGGCTCAGGACCGTGCCTTAAGTCATTCCATAAGGAAGGTCTATTTTTTTATAGGATAAGGGTGACAAACGAGCACACAGTCCACCTGATGGTAAGTGGTTACTGTAGCCCATAGACATCTACATCTATTTTCGATTACGAATCAAAATGCAGATGCCTTGTCACCCGTGAGGATTAAGATGGAATGCCTCGTTTCCAGTAAAGAGGGTCTCCGGTTCTCTACACTCACCATACGAAACATAGCAGCGTTAAGCTGCTATTTTACGCTGATATTCTGTGAGAACGTGGTCCTTCCCCGGTCGAGGCGACCCATTCGTGCTACAACCATAATATAGCTGCAGCATGGCTCTACCACGTATAAAAAAGTAAAACATTACAACATAAGTTACAATTTAGAGTCCCCGTAGGCTACGTTTTAAGATGCTTAATTGAGGCGCGACGTCGTGGCGTCGCGCTTGTGATAAGCTGGCTGCATCAGTTATAAGAGTGCACATAAAACTGGCTACGGTGGTCTTTTACCAGCTATCAGATGAGCTGCATGCTC